ACAAATAAGCAGTCGTGAACAAACAGCGGCTGGTCACCTGACTCCCGTTCATAGGTCGTATAAGCCCAGTGACGATTTCGTCACAAAGGTCGATGTGATTGGCCTTTTAAAACTAAAATCATTGCCCCCCTCACTTCCGAGGGGAGGGATTACTTTCCTGCTGCCTTACAGTTCGCACTTAGTTGTGCAAAGGTTAGAGGTACGCCCTCAATATAACCGCCCAAGGAACTTCACGATCACGATAATGTCTGGAGCCTGCTTATCCTTTCTAAGGAGCCAGCCGCAGTAAAGTAAAGTATAGAGCTTTGTTTCTTCATGCAAACTTAGTCCTAACGTGAAATGTTGGTTTTTTCATATCAGTATTTTAACTTTCTGACTACCCCAATGGCTCTCTCACTCGTTCTGTCATTTTCTCATCACAGTCGAATGATCCAAACCGGGATGTCTGGCCATTCGTCAGCAGAAGATGCAATAGCTACCATGGACTTGGTCCGGTTGAAGTTAAGCAATGGTAAGTAAGCATTGTGATTCATTGTGTTTGCTCAGCTGGGGATGTCATTCAGTTTCTTCGTCATTGTTGATCAAATCTCACGAAAGGACAAGCCAGTTGGGAATGTTATCCATCGATTACTGCTGGAATTTTCGTCTAACGTTGATCGATTTTTCCGTGGTATTTTTGTGAGTCCTATTACTCTTATCGGTTTCAGTCTACCATCCAACCAGTTTCTCTAATATACTGTCAATTGTGCTCCGGTCACGAATCAATAAGAGCCTTCAAAAATCGGGTTCACTCTCTCAAAAAGACATGCAGTGGTACATTGAGAGTGGCATTTCCTAACACTGCTATTGACGGACCCTTAGGCATGCGAATTTCACTTCACACTCTTGTAAGCGCACCTTCCGTTAAATGTTATTTCGGGAGCTCTGTCCACATAATTCACAAACTCACAGTCCAAACACCATACTCCATTGTTCTTTATTTACACACTATCACACCGTGACCTGAGAACAGACCGAAGCTGCAATCAGGGCGGAAGAACAACCCCCTCCCCTCCCACTCTCACCCCATCGCAGCAGTTTAACGGCGAGCAAGAGACAAAAGCAGTCGGCGGAGAAGACCACATATATAAACGAATGGGTCAAGCACAACACTGCCACTTTACAAGCACTGATAATGTCACCTTGGCCGGTGATGAAACGTTTGCAAACAAATTGCCAAACGCGGCGACCAGGCGAAATAAAATCCAGCTCACCAGAGCTACGAGAACCGATTTTCAATACTTTATCAACAGTGTTCTTCCTCTCAGTTTTAAGCGAATTCTCAACCATCAAAATTAGAAACAATGCGGCCTTGAAAGGATCTGAATTTCGCCTCTCAGAGCGTAATTTAAAGCCGTTTAAACTTATTACTTATAAGTAACATATAGGGTAAAGCGAAAAATAGTCTGTGAAAAACCGTTGATTGATTCTCTGGATACACATTGCTGCTGCATTTGTTTTGTTTTTTAAACGGACATGCTAGGCTTGATTTTAAGGTGTCTTCTAAGACGAATTTCATTAGAAAATTGATTTATATCCTTCTCTTCTGCCTTGCGACAAGTATTCGGCTTCGGAACGTTACCGGCCGAGTCATAACTATCAATGCTAGGGGCATGAACGAGATGAGCTCTCCATGGCAAGTTCAGACAGTGAATGTTTGTATTACCCTCTTCGGTTTTTCGCAGGTAACAGGCACTGTTGATAATCTTGGGTGCGGGTTTCACTCCTTGGGAGATCGTTGATTTCCCACCAGCTAAATGCAATGAAAATGTTTGTGATAAATGGTGCCCGTGAAAAACCGAATGGGCTAATCCAAGCATTCACTATCTAAATTGATTGAGCCATTCAAACAAGGTGATGGCCGTCGACCGTGTGGATCAGGGTTAGGGTTTGAAATCCTAACGCAAAGGTTCGCGGTTGGAGTCCTGACAGGGGCGGAAAAAGTACACACAACTGACGAGTACTAAGCAGGATGAAACAGTTGTCCAGTGCTCTTTGTCAGTCACCACAAACATTTCCATTGCAAGCTTTCAGACTTGAAGTGTGTCAAGTGGAACATGGGCGAATGAAACAACCTGTCTGGGACCAAGTGTTCAATGTGTTTGATGAGTTCGCGGATCCCATAGTCAGTTGAACCTGTGCATTCGCTAGACTGACGAGTTCCAACAAGAATGAAACTGTTGTGCAGCGTTCCGGCGCTTTTTAGTTCACCTTTCCTTGGCTCTCTATACGAATAATTTCACCATATCCCATGTTTATTCTAATAATAACCAATGTCCGATGTAGTGAAAATATTTATGCAGTATGGTTCTTTACGACTTCTGGAAATAATCGTCTTTAGTTAAACGACGATTTGTTGACTGCGGCTAATCGCTAAGAAAATCTTCAGTAGCATGTGAACAGTGAGATGATCTATTGCAGTGGTCAAGCGATGAAGGCTACCATTTTATCGCCCCAGAGGACGCGTGTTCGAATCAAAACACTATCATTTGACTTTCTCCGTTCTCTGTGTGATGCACGGTAGTTCCTTAATTGTCCGCCTCCTCCCTGGAAAATTGTTTCACTATGTATATATCCAGTAAAAGAAAGTTGAGATGCTTTTTTATTTATGTATTTTTCTTGAATTCATGTTTATCTTGCAGTTTTGTGATATAAAACAAGGACATTCTATCGCCGACTGAGCTTACACTGTGACATCGTTCCTTTCTATCTCTCCTGTCTAGATTTATCGTTCGGCGATGTGACTACGACATGGCGCTTTCCTGAGGGCTACGATCAGCACCTACCGTCCAACAAACGTCGTAAGGTAACAAATACTCTCTCTCTCTCTCTCTACGACCTTTGTAAAACATTCAACGTTCAAATTTTGTATGATTATTTTTCTCTCTCCTGTCTTTCTTTGGTATATCCCTAAACATGACGATCGGGGTAAAAGTAATGAACATTTGGCTTTACTGCGTAGTGAGGGAAGATCGGTTAGTTCAGCCTGGATATCTACCCACTAAGACGCAATGGGGGAAATGTGAAAATCGAATTGGTGTACTAACGGCTCCTCAAGATTCGAACTTAATGTAATAGCATAGTTTGGTTGTCCCAAGCAGCAGAAGTGTTCATTTTGACAACACCTTGCGAGACGAGGTTGTTGAGGCCAAACTAATCTATTAATGTCTAATTTCTCTCAAATTCTCTAATGACACTCAATAATTGAGGGTGATTATTTTTACACTGTCCCACAATAATGACGAAATCTAATCCAATCATATAGAAACAGGGAACTGGGTAAACAAGGTTATTGTGACAAGTATATGAATGAACTGACAAAAGATTACCGGATACGTATGCCTGACGAGCGGCAAGAATCGCGAAACCAACCGAGTGCTCCCAGGGAAATTTTGTCCAGTCATTCACATATTACTTATGATATATATACATATATTTCAAGAGAGAATGGAGGCGTACACTGAGTTGTAAAATGTTTATTGTAACGTTTCGATCCAAACTAGGACTCGTTGTCACATATA